TCTTCCTTCCTTCTCTTTCTTTCTCCCCTCTCTCTCTCCCTTCCTTCCTCCCTTCCTTTCTTTCTTCTTTCCCCCCCTTTTTGCTAGGTGGGGCATGGGGACTTGAAGGGACAGATTTTTCAAAGCAACCAGGGGAAGATCTTAAGAATACTATGGATTCTCATGTTCCTGGCACAGCCAAGCCTACAACAGTAGGTGATTTGAGTACTATCACTGAATGAATTATACTCTCCAATGGTTAGTATTAACTAATTATTTAAGTGTTCTTTAGAACTGTAGTTGCTGTTTGTGTGTGTGCGTGTATGTGTGTTTAAACCCCAGGTCACCGTAGGAATTAAAGTCTTTTGTAAACTTAGTACTTTTTCAGATTTCCTATTTTCTTAAAAGTTCAATTTGAGTGAAATGTTTTGGTAACTCACGATCTATAGGAAATCCAAGTTGGCCAACAGCCTTTAGGTGAGTGTTTACACAGGGAGGAGTAGGAACCTACTAACTCCCACATCTCTCAATGAGAGCTGCCTGCCTTGTCTTCTAAACTGAAGCCCTTGGTCTTAGCATTTAAGTTTTGAAAGCGATATAATGCCAAGAAATTTTATGCCACAGACCCCTCTCCCAAGAAAAGCTTGTCAACAGTCAAGCTGTGGGACATGTCCTAGAACAGAGAATAAAGGACAGACGGGAAAACCTAAGCCTTTTATGGAAGGAAAGTGGGAGGAGGTAGGGGAAGTGTCTGCAACATCCACTAAGACATAGATCAGGCAAGTGTTACCAGCCCATGTCCTACATCTGCAAGGAATTTTCTTTCATTTGAACATATGCTCTTAGAAATGCAAAGTACGACAGTAATTCCTGGGACAAGATAAATTTCTTTTTTTTCTTCACATGTTAACATGAAAATACAAAATAGATAATTATTTGAGTTACGATACTCTTCAAACTTTATTGCGTTAGAAATAAGTCCACGTGTCCCTTGTTAAATACTGTGCTGGGTGTCCATAGAATAGTGGTTAAGGACATGTGTTTGGGGGCCAGATAGAACGGGGCTCAAACCCTGACTCTCTCACTTGAGAGCTGTGTGACCTTGGACAGATACTTAACTTTTCTGAGTCTGGATTCCCTGATTGGTCAAAGGAAGACAATATTATCTACCTCATAGTTTGTCGTGAAAACTAAAAACGCCTAGCATAGTAAGGGTTGGAAAACATAGATAATTCTTATTATTAGTGGTGGTATTGGGAGAGGCAGTCACATAATACAGCACCAGGATATATTACAAGGTGGTTCTGAACTTAAATCCCCAATCTCACTGATGCAGGGACCAACACACATCTTTCACTCCAAGACAGAACCTATAACTAAGCTGTCTGTCCATGAGAACTGTTCAGTGAGCATTTAATATTTATTACTTTCTAATGTGTTTTCTGTTGACTGCAAAAATTATATACAATCATTAACTTCACCAAAATATCTTCCAATGAGCATGGAGTTCCTGAGATACCTAACTACTGGGTGATCTCCTCCAGGCCTGTGCCACGTTGGGCCCCAGCCTGTTTTAGCCTGACTGGTGTTCAAAATATGGAGATTGTGGTTCTGGTACTTGCAACCTGTACAGGATGAGACTTTATGCTCTACTAGTTCACCAACCATCAACTCTTCTTTTGGGTGCAACTTGTCTCTAAATAAATAAATGAATAAATAAATAAATAAAATAATCAGCCCAATGTATTCTTAATAAATCATCTACTTAATTTTTAAAAGTTGACCATCTTTTTAAAAAGTAGAGATCAAAATCAAAATAACCTTTTACTTTCTCAAAGATTTAGTCCTGAAAAAAAGGAGCAGATTATGCTAAAAGCTGGCCTGCACTTAAGAGCATTTGCTGTCTATTCCATTATTATTATTTTTTTATGCTGGGAGAATGGTTTGATGTAGTACTTGTTGAAAGTCTTTCTAAAACTTAATTCATCAGGAGGAATTGATGAGACATTGAAGCACAGACATCTGGCTTGCTGACTATTGTCGCTTCACTGTAATTTCCACTCAACTTGTCACTTAACTGATTATAAGCAGGTTAGTTAGTTAAAATGGGAAATATGGCAAGAAGAGCGTGGAAAGGAGCTGGCCTAAACTTTTCCAAAGACATCAAGAATGTTGGAAATGGGTCGTGCATAGCATTTTTATTTCTGATTCTCTGGAATTAGATGATGTGTTCTTAGAGCTTTGTGAAGATTGGAATAAGTCACCATGACCTGCACGGGACAGAGGTGACTAATCTGGTTTATCTTGTGTGCAGATGTTTGCCCTTGATCGTTAAGGGAGATCTGAAGGAAAGAATGAGTACAGAAGACCTGCTTTGAGAGTGACTATGTCCTCTGGGACAAGCGGATTAGAGGGGAGGACAGTGGTAAAGGGGGAAAAACGGTGGGGGTGGGATGGGTCTTGCTGGTGGAGAAGTTGCAGAGTAAATTCACTATGAAAATGTGATCACATTATGTGGAGGAGAAATGCATTAAGGGGAAGTTGAGGCAGGTTTGAAATGGAGGTTGTCTGTGAAGGAGGATAAAGGAAGGTCATGATGTCCTCTGGATCCATGAGATGCAGCTTTAATTTAATAATGTGAGTGGGTCATTTCATGAATGCAAATTACCAAAAAGATCTGCAGCTCATGATTGGACATGAGTGGTCATTCATAGGAACCTAAATCTGGATTAGCATTTAGATTGAGTTTTGATAACGGGGCACTCTGCTAGGTGTTGATGTGGAAAAGAATTGTCCTTAAGGAATTTACATCTTTTTGATTTCTTCTGTGTCTATGCTATTTGCAAAGTGTAGATTATATAGTGGTAATACAAATGGGATTTCAGGAACAAAGCTGTCCTCTTTCCTTCACTGAGTAATCAAGACCAGTTTGGTGTGGGGGGAGGTTGGGTGACTGACCACAATGATTGACGGAGCCCTGATTCTCGAACTAATTAGAATCCTCATCCCCATCCCTCTTAGTCATGTAGACTATGCAGAGTGCTTCAGAGCACTGCTATTCTCTAAGAAGCTGAGGTCTCTGTTGATTGAGATTCCTGGGGTTGGTTTTTACTTCTCTCCAAATAGCTAATTAATAAGGTTTAAGAACTCAAAAACCTCACAATAAACACTGAAGATCTTTGAAGACTAGGCTTTTTTAAAAATGAAAAAACCATTTCATAATATTTTCCACATCTAATAAATCTTATTTTGCAAAAAATTTACTTTGGCTTGCAAAAAATACAAAGCAGCCTGTCACTCGAGACCCCTTTGGCTTACGGGGTATGCTACTCCCATAGGAATGAGAAGTCTGTCCAAACTAAAACTGAAAACCACAGTTGACTAATTTTGGATTTACAGCTTTATTGTTGGTTTCTGACATAGTGAATACAATGGCTTCAATTGGAAAATAAAACCCACATCATTCTATATGGGACCAGGTAAAAATTAATAGGTATTTGGAGGTTTCCTAGAAAAAAGAGGGCAAATGTTAAGAAGCCTCCTGGACTATAGGGAGTTTGCTATACTGAGGGTCAGAACAAAAGGATTGCAGTTGGCTGTGTTGCTCATTGGTTCGCGGGAAGGCATTTTAAAAGAATGGAAACTCTAAATCAATGTGGCCTGTAAGACTCATTCATTTAAGAGCACCTACTTTGTGCCAGGCACTGAGGATAAGGTGATGAGCAAGCCCTCATGACTCTCAGACTAGGTATTTATTTAATTACAGATGTGAAAATGCCCCAAAGGAAAATCTGAGTATAACGGAGGTCCTAAATTGGTCTGGAGAAAAAAAAAATGCATTTTTGCACAGATGTTTGTGGGAGGGAATGGTCTTATGACGTGAACCTGTCATATGCAGTCAACATACATTCCCAGTCAGTCTCAGATTGGCCTCTGTGATGTGGGCTCCCGGCGTCTTGCTCTGGGAGGGCTGAATTGTCCTGGAGGCCATTTTTAGTAGGGATTGGGGAAGATCATGGGTGTAGGCCTCGGGCTGTCTTGTGTGCTCCTCTTTCAAATGGGCAGAGATTGCATTTTAGTTTAGATCCTGGCCCTGAATTAAATAAATAGCAGACACTTGGGAAAGCTTCTCAAATTCACTCTATATTTGCCGAGGAGACTGAACTGTCATGGCTCAAGTTATCCTGGTCTCTGGAGAAAATCAGCCCTGTTTTATAACTGGACTTTTCTCAGGAGTGATTTTTTTAAAAAGACAAAACAAGGAAATTAATTTTTTTTTGTTGTTGAGGCAAAAAAGGCTCTGTTTAAAGAACAGGGATGTTGTAACATAAACTGACAAAAGCCAGGGAGTCTGCAGTCTGAGCAGAGAGCTAAATGTCACATTATCAGCTCCAAACTTGAACTTGCCCAAAAGTATTAGGTTGATGTTGGGAAGATGATGCCGTTTAAGGATATTTTAAATTTAATATTTAATTATCTTAATTTGACATTATCCTTAGGGTTGCATGGTCTTAACTTACAGGGGCTGCCCCTCAAAGAATTTGGATTCCATACTGCCTTTGTCTTTGAAAGGTAATTGCTCTAGCTAATAATACCTGCTTGTATAGTTCCTTGGGGGGGGGCCACAATAAGATTGCTATTAAGTTGCACTCCCCAGTTATCATGTTTAACACTGGTGTTCAGAAGAGAGCAGGGACATGGGTACCTCACAGCAGTGTTTTCAGGATCAGACAACTGTGGTGTGAATGTGGGGCCGGGAGGGACAGGGAAGCCTCAGGATTCAGGTCAGATTTGGTGTGGTGGTCTGAGGAGGGAGGCTGTGAATTTGAAACTGCCCTCGTGGAAAAGAAAATCCTTCCACATTTTAATAAGCCCCCTGTGTCCCATGGCTTGCAAGTGCTACAGGCTTTGCTACTCAAAACTTGTTAGAAAGAAAGAGGTACTGAATCAGAACCTGCATTTTAACAATGTCCCCAGGTGACTGCCTGCACACTTAGGTTTGAGAAGCACTGTCCCAGGAGAATCTTAATAGTCTGAAGCTTCTCTCTTGTGCTCTGCTTTTTAAAAATGCGTCTTCTGTTCCTCCTTCTGTCTGCCTGACCTTCCCAGAATACCCTGCTTCTAGAGTCATCCTCCTTTGTCTGATTTATATTCTTCACTCCACTCATTTTTTTCTGTCTCCATTCTTGCTTTTTTTTGGTCAGTTTTCCCTCTGCGTCCCCCACTTCTTTAATTTTTTTTGTCATAATTTATTTATATGCCACTTCCTTTTCTGATCCATATCTAACTCCAGACCCATCCACAGTAACTCACTGTCATTAATATATCCAACATGTCTATGGTATTTATTAATGTAAATATTTGCACATACCTGTTTTCTTGTGCCCATTTTCTACCTTCTAAATTTTACACACACACACACACTTGTGTGAATGACATATTTCACTATTTAAAGTAGAAAAATGTATATCATAGTATAAAGACTGATATAATGAATATCTGTTCCCAGTTTAAAAATGAGAAAAAGTGAGCTGTCCAGGAGCCCTTATGAGTTATGAGATCTTTCTGGTAAAGTCATTCATTCTGTCTGCGTACCGCCATACATTTGGTTAGTTCTCAAATTGCTTTCACTTTTACATCAAATTTGATCTGAACAGCCTATCCTGGGAGACAAGGTATGTGTAGCTTTGCATAAAGGAAGTCATTTATTGAGAAGTAAAGTGAGTTTTCTCAGGTCCGATAGCAAGTTGCTGTCCCAGGATTTCAGATAGAAACTCAGCCTTGACTTTGCTCTTCCTGTGAAGTATTTTCCCTCTGTCAAGCACTTTCTGGCCTTCCCCTGCCCTCCGTCATCTCCTTCTAGTGCCTGAGAACAGTGAACATCTCCTAAGCATCCAATCAACTGAACAAGGCACAGTTGGGGAGAAAAGACTCTGACACTTTCCTCGCAGGTGAAACCCATTGGCAATGAGGCTAATTCATCTTTGCTATAAAACAAGATAGAAAATTAGTTCCTCCTAAGAGGTGCAAGGTAATCTGGCATTGAAATAGTAGGAACTTCCTACATGTTGTCTAAGGCAAACATGAATACCGTTACGTGATCATAATACAAAATCAAATACAGTTGGTGTCAGAAGCCAGGAAGAAACTCCTGTGGGAGTACATGGGTTGAAGAGATGGGTCCTGGCTGAGTTCAAATCTTGGCTTATTCCCTGTGTGACCCTGGGTGAGTTACTTCCTGGCCTGATGGCCCAGAGGGTAATGAGAAAAATACCACCTAATTCATAGAGGTATGTGAGAAGCACATGCGATGTGTTACAGAAAAGGTTTAGCAAGTGCCTGATGAAAGGTTAGCTGCTATTACATGCACCGTTTAACAGTGGGGTACATTGGGCAACTTTGTCATTGTGCGAACATCGTAGAGTGCACACACCTAGACAGTATGGCCTACTGCACACCTAGGCTGTATGGTGTAGCCTATCACTCCTAGGCTACAAGCCTGTCCAGCATGTTACTGGTCAAAACAACATGAGATTAAATCAAGCACAAGAGAAAACTGTTTGATCAAGAGATGTGATCAGGATGAGATGGATGAGGTTGCTGCCTGTGTAGCACAGCATATTGTTTTATAGCAAACCTTTTTTTGTAAGTAGAAAGTGTGCATTGTAAAATAATGACACACAGGATGTGGAGTAGAGTGTGGGAGAGGAGTCAGTGGAATTGTAATAGATATGGATGATATCGGGGGTGGGGGAGTGGGGCGGTGGATTGGGGGAGGGAGGTTGTCACTTTGAGGAGTAAAAAGTATAATTAATAATGTTGTAAATATTTTGTAGGGTGTAAGATAGTCACATGTCTTGTTAGGGAGACCACTTCATGGATGGGGTAGAGGCTTGATTGCTGCACTGTACACCTGAAGCTGATGTATAATATTGTATGTCAACTATAAGTGAATATATATATATATAGTCACGGGATATGGAGTATAGTGTGGGAGTGGAGTCAAGGGAATTGTAATCGATATGTATGATATTGGGGGGGGAAGTGGGCGGAGGATTAGGGGAGGGGTAAAAAGTATAACTAGCGCACTGTGTTGTACACCTGAAACTAATTAAAAAAATGATAATGATAAAAAACATACTACAGTAAATACATAAACCAGTACCATAGTCATTTAATATCATTGTGAAGTACTGTGTACTATACATAATCGTATGTGCTACATTTTCATAGACTGGCAGTGCAGTATGTTTGTTTATACCAGCCTCACCACAAACACGTGAGTAATGCATTGGGGCTATGTTAGAACGGCTACTATGTCACTAGGCAATAGGAAATTTTCAACTCCATTGCAATCTTATGGGACCACTGTCATATATGTGGCCATCTTCTACCATAACATCGTTATGCAGTACATGGCTGTGCTAATGTTTTAATTAATCAACTTTTCTATTTTTCATGTTTCCCCTCTCTGTGTTTTCTTCCTGCAGCATGAGCCGCACCGCCTACACTGTGGGAGCCCTGCTTCTCCTCTTGGGGACCCTGCTGCCAGCTGCTGAAGGGAAAAAGAAGGGGTCCCAAGGTGCCATCCCCCCGCCAGACAAGGCCCAGCACAATGACTCCGAGCAGACTCAGTCTCCCCAGCAGCCAGGCTCCAGGAACCGGGGGCGGGGCCAAGGGCGCGGCACCGCCATGCCCGGGGAGGAGGTGCTGGAGTCCAGCCAGGAGGCCCTGCATGTGACAGAGCGCAAGTACCTGAAGCGAGACTGGTGCAAAACCCAGCCGCTCAAGCAGACCATCCACGAGGAGGGCTGCAATAGCCGCACCATCATCAACCGCTTCTGCTATGGCCAGTGCAACTCCTTCTACATCCCCAGGCACATCCGGAAGGAGGAAGGCTCCTTTCAGTCCTGCTCCTTCTGCAAGCCCAAGAAATTCACCACCATGATGGTTACACTCAACTGCCCCGAACTACAGCCACCCACCAAGAAGAAGAGGGTCACGCGAGTGAAGCAGTGTCGTTGCATCTCCATCGATTTGGACTAAGCTGGGACACCCCACTTGTCCTAGGGATGCAGCCCCAAGCGGGCCCAGAGCCAGACATAAAACGACCTGATTCTAACCTTGGCTTAAACCTAGAGGCAAGAAGAACCACCAGCTGCCTCCTGACAGGCGCCTGCTAGTGTGTAGTTTGTGTGCATGAGTGTGCATGGGTGCCTTTGGATATTTGCAGACACCAGAGGAAACAGTCTCTGCTAGAGGCCACTTCCTATTACCTAAACAAATCCGCTTCCTTAGGGGATGGCACAGAAAGCCCACACCACCCGAGGCACATTAGAAGGGGGAGGGCTGTGATCTGGTTTTGGCTTTGTCCTCCGCATGCCCTCCTGGGGACCAGAATCTCCCTTCAGAATGAGAGTTAATGGAAGAGGCTACTCTGAGGGCAAGAGACCTGTTGTAGTGCTGTATTCAACCTGTGCTTGCTTCCTCCCTCCCTCTCTCCCCACATCCGTGGTCCATCCCTGGTTAGGATCTCAGCGACCATTTCAGTCTAATCCCCTATTGCCAAGGGATTGAGGCGAGGACCAGTCGAGCCCAAAAAAAATGCAGTGGAGAGATGTGCAGTCTTGCAAGGCCAACCCCCAAACACACTGAGACCCATGTTTTAGCAAGTTGTCCCTGGTATTTAACAGAACCCAAGTGAACAGAGGAGAAATGAAATTGTCAAAAAAAAAAACGGTCATTAATTTTGGCTGTCCCTGTGATCTGCTGAAAAGTAGTTGTAACCCAATGTTGAATTTAAAACATAATATTGACCAAAATATTTTCAGAACCAAATGAATGAGCTAAACCAAAACAGCCCCTTCCTGCTTTGCCCCGCAGATGGACGATAGATGTAGATCAGAACCCCCTATACAGGGATAGGAAAAAACCAAAAAACCAAAAACCTCATAATCAGAAGGTTCTAGTGTCTTTCTTTTTGCTTGGTTATAATCACCTCTTTCCCACTTCATTATTTCTGTGTAATGCTTCTGAGAGCCATCACCCTGTATTATAAAGATTCTTCCTCTGCTGAACATACCTGGCAGTGAAGAACTAGGCTAAAATGAGAGCATTTAGGGCCTGCTCCATTTTTGCTAGAAGTATATTTTGGTCTTTTTTTTTTAGTCATTGGTAGGAGTTTGAGCTGGAGAGCAGAGGAGCATAAGGACGCGAAGGAGATTGGCTCTGGCTAAGGGGTAGTTTGATGCCTGGCTGGAGCTGTGAGGGCTATGACCACCCTTTCTTCCTTTGCCCTCTGAGGGTCTTGTGGGAAATCACAGGTAAGAAATCAGAGCATTTGGGTTCATTAGCTGCCCATCTACTGCTGGTGGGATTCGTGTAGCTTTGTAACTGTTCAGAACCTACTGGTAGAGGCTGTCCTCTGATTAAACTTAGGCTATTGGCAATAACTACTTAGGATTTAGCTAATGGCCAAAGTGTGCTGTAGGTGAACCTTGCTGCATTTTGGGTTTGGCTAACCTGTTCTCTTCAAGTCCGATGTTTTTTATATGCCCCACCCCAACACGGTTTTTGCCTTGTATCTTCTCAGCCTCACTAGCCCAGTCACGTGTAATGTGGGAAACAGACACCATAGACTTACGTTTCAGTTGCCCATCAAGGCTCCAGCATTCAAAGAAACATTGCAACAAAAGAGGCCGTTTCATGTTTGTGTGGGTTCAGTGCTCTCCCATCTAACAACTAAACAGGAACTGTACTTTGAGGCAGAAGTTATTTTGAACCCCCAAAATATGGGGCCTAATTTTAAAACTTGTAATCTCACTACTGATGATCCTACACTAGGTAAATTTGTGCGGACACATAGTCTGTGCATTTTGTATACACTGTATGCCCTTGCCCTAAATCTTTCTATCATCCACATCCTCTAGCAATAAAGCACAGAATGGATTTAATTAAGCACACAAATGCTAAGCCAGAATTTTGAGGGTGGGGGAGAGGAAGAGCAACGGGAAGGAGCTGAAAATGTAAAACCACACTAGAGAGGAAAAATGACATTTAGAACCAGCAGACACTGAGTTTCTCTTGTCTTAACTCGGCCACAAGCATGCAATCGTGTAAAAAAGAGATGACTTACATTGGCAGCACTAATATTCTTTGAGTAGCTTGTACAGCAGTCTTGCATGTAAGTCAAATTCGACTTAGGTAAAGAGAATTTCCTCAAAATTAACTTCACTGGGATAATCAGCATAACTGTCCTAAAAACACAGCACTAGCCAAAGAGGGAAATGTCTGCTTTTCTTACTGTACCTATATTAAGACTAGCACAAATACGTTGTGTCTTCCAACATTTATTGAGAGTGCCATATCTGTTACATATTTTATTGGAGTCACTGATGATGTAATGATGTTTTTTCATTACTATAGAATTTTTTTTTAATGGCAAGATATCTGCAGTCCCAGTCTTTTGTATTAAAATAATGCCAAACACCAAATACAACTATTACGATATACACTTTGTGCTTGGCATTAAGTGAGAAAAACATACATCCTGCAAGTCTGTAAGTTGTTTTTTGGGTTTTTTTTTGTTATTGTAGTTCTTCAAAGTTCAAAATGTAAGTGAGAAATCTGGAGGAAAGGATAATTTCCACTGTGTGGAATGTGAATAGTTGAACAAAAAGTTATGGTTATTTAATGTAATTATTAATTCAAATCCTTTGGTCACTGTGATTTCAGGCATTTTTTTTTTCTCCTTTATTTGACTTCCTTTGAGTTGAGCAAAGAAGAGGCTGGCACATTTTATGCTGTTGGAGGCTTTTATCAGGTCAGAGGGAAAGAATAAAATCTTGACACATCTGAACATGCATTACAAAGTTAAGACCTGAGCTTTTATTATTTTTTTTTAAATTGAATGTTCCTTAAAGGTTAACATTTCTGAGGCAATATTAAGAATAATTTTAAATGTAATTTGGAAGACTTATGATATGTGTATACAAACAAATAGCAGATGATAATGAATAGTTCACAAGTCCTTTTAAGGAGAAAATCTAAAATGAAAAATGTATGTGCAGAACATTTATAAATGACTAGTTAACGCTTAAGAGTGAAAGTAGTTCTATTGATTTGTCATTCTCAAGATATTTAATATCAACTGCATTATGTATTATATCTGCTTTAATCATTTAAAAACAACAGAGGATTATATAGACTATGGTTGAGGTACTTTGCTGTGTATGAGGATGAGAGGGGATTTGATAGTCTCATAAAAGCGAATTTGGTTTAAAGCAAAATTTTATGAATCAGTTACTAGAATTTAATTTCATCCAAATTATGTTCTATATAACCTTCCCCAAAGAGCAACCAATAAATTGAACCTCTTCTCTGTTTGTATGTGTGTATGCGTGTGTTTTTAACTGGTAGTGTTCACAGTGTAGGGCTGGGGCAGGGATTCACTTATCATGGGGAGGTAGAAAAAGACATAATTAGATCTCTCGTGATCTCAAAGGGAATTTATTTTTTCCACCTGGACCTTCCCGATCCTGCTTGATTTCAGAGGGACACCTCAGGCCATGGCAATTGGAGGCAGGTGTGCAATGGACAGTACCAAATTCTCCCCCAGAGCTAGAAAGAAGAGTTAGGGTTATGAGACGCTTTCAGAGAGTGGAAGAATGGGCACACAGAAATGATGATAGCTGTATTTTGAGGTGTTCAAAGGGAAAATGGGAGAAAGATTTGGGGCTTAGTAGAAAGAAGCGCTTTCTGATGATGTGAGTGATTTGGCAATGCAGGGATTTGCCGTGAGATAGTGAGCTCCCTGTCTTTGGAAATATTAAACCATATGCTAGCTATTATTAGTCGAGAAAAGTCCCTAAACAAAGAAACAAAAAATAGCAGCAACAGCAAATCCTGAGGAGGGGAAGAGAGACTGATTTCAAGTTACCACACTATATTATTTAAAATAACAAATGAAAAGTTTACCAGAGGAGCTGAAAAGCAGAGAGAAATGAGAGATAGACACAGAGATAGAGATGAGACAGAAGAAGACTCTATTAAAATCAGGAATGAAAGAGGGAACATTACTATTGTACCTTACAGACATAAAAAAAAGATTATAAGGGAATACTATGAACAACGGTATGCCAACAAATTAGATAACTTAGATGAAATGGACAAATTCTTAAAGTAACAAAAAGTCTAAGTCCATTTTCTGATATTTGACTACAAATGTCTTTTGAGCCTCCCTCCTCCATCTCCCCCTCCTGCCCCACACCTGGGCAAGCTGATAAGAAATGAGGCTCTCCCTCATTTGGCATTGATAGGATCATCAAACCATACAAGGGTCTGCCTGCATGTGAGAACCCTCATCCCAGCCTCAGTCTATAACCACCATAAAAACTTTAAGGCAGTCTCCTTTCCCTGTTCTCTCATGCCATCTTCAGACTCGGTTAGGAGGCCTGCCCTGTCCTCCACAGAAACCCTTGTTATGTGTAATGAAACTTCTCATACACTCTCAGTGTGTGTGTGTGTGTGTGGTGTCATCAATCTTGACATCTGAAACAAACTTTGAGTAAAGGCCCATTCTTTTAATGCAAGTGTCTACAACACCTAGAAACACACAAACTACTGAAAATGACTCAGAAAGAAATACATATTAGAATAGAACTATCACAAAAAGAGAGGTGGAATTAGCAAGTCAAAAAACGTTTCACATAGAAAAGCCCAAGACCAGATGGCTTAATTTGTGAATTTTACCAAATATTTAATATTTAAAGAATTAATCCCAGTTTTTCACAACCTCCTAAAAAAAAGAAGAGACTTTCTACCTCATCCTATGAAACCAATATTACCTAGCTACCAAAACCATACAAAGACATCACAGAAGAAAACTACAGACAAATATCCCTTATGAATATATCTGCAAAAATCCTCACAAAATACTAGGCAACTGAATTCAGCAACATATAAAAAGGATTATATACCATGACCAAGAGGGATTTGCCCCAGGAAAGTAAGATTGGTTTAATCATCAATCAAAGTAATACATCATATTAGAAGAATAAAGGACAAAAAACACACAATCATGCAAAAAAATTATTTGACAAAATCCAACACCCTCTCATGATAAAAATCACTCAACACATTAGGAAGATAAGGGAATTCTGATAAGAGACCTGATAAATGACATCTATGAAAAACCCACAGCTAACATTACTTAAGGGTGAAAGACTAAAAGCTTTCCCCCTAAGGGGGATATCTGCTTACACCACTTCTTTTCAACATTGTATTGGAGGTTTTAGCCAGGGCAATTAGGCAAGAAAAGAAAAAAGAAGTCATCCAGATTGTAAAGAAAGAAGTAAAACTATTTCTATTCTCAGATGACATAATCTTGAATGTAGGAATCCTAAAGAATCCACAAAAGAAGCATTAGAGCTGTCGTAGTCCATTCAGGCTACTCTAATAAAATACCACAGACTAAGTAGCTTATTAAAAACAAACGTTTATTTTTCACAGTTTTAGAGGCTAGAAGTCCAAGATCAAGGTGCCAGTATGGTCAGGTGACAGCTTGCTTCCAGGTTCCAGACTTTTTATTGTATCCTCACATGGTGGACTGTTTCTGGATATAAGAATACCAATCTAATTCATGAGGGCTCCACCAAAGTCCCCACCTACTAATACCATTACCTTTGGGGTTAGGATTTCAACATGTGAATGGGGGGGGACACAAACATTTGGACCACAGCAAGAACTAATAAATGGTTTTTTCAAGGTTGCAGCAAGATCAAGATATAAACATTAATTGTATGCTATACACTACCAATGAAAAATCTGAAACTGAAACTAAGAAAATAATTCCATTTGCAATAGCATCAGAAAGAATAAAATACATAGGGATAAATTTAACAAAGGAAGTACAAACTTGTACACTGAAAATTATAAAACATTGTTTAAAGAAATGAAACAACTAAATAAATGGAAAGACATCCTGTGTCCATGGATTAGAAGAATTAATATTGCTCTACAAATTCAACAAAATCTCTGTCAAAATCCCAACTGGCTTCTTTACAGAAATGGACAAGCTAATCCTAAAATTTAGATGAAAATGCAAAGAGCCCAAAATAGCCAAAACAATCTTGAAAAAGTACAAAGTTGGAGGGCTCACACTTCCCGATTTCAAAACTTAACAACAAAGAATTGTTATAAGGCAAACATCCTTTCACTAGGTTAAGAAATAGAAATTTCCCAGCCTCTCTAGAATCTCTCCTTATGATCCATCTCAATTTTAACCCTTTCCACACTACAGTAATAATCATTCTCCTAACTTCTATAGTAATTTCTTCTTTACATATATTTATAGCACTATCACCTAAACGTGTATTCCTAAACTCTATACTTTAGTCTGGTTTCAAACAGTTTAAGTGAGAAAAGATAAAGGACCTACATCCCTTCCTATGATTTTTTTAAAGATGTTTATAAAAATATAGCTCACATACAATATTACATTAGTTTCAAGTGTACACCATAGTTGTTCAGCGTTTATATACCTAAAGATGTGAGCACCATGATAAGTCCAGTAACCACCTGACACTGTACCATACTATCACAATATTATTGACTATATTCCCTATTGTTTTTAACTTCTTGCTTCTCTTTTCTTTAATTTTCTTTTCTTTTTTTTTTAGAGCTACCCTTCACTCATTCCATGTGGTGCCACTTAGGCTTCTTATTACTGTTTTTTTCATCCCTGCTCTCCCTCTAGGCATAAGGGTGATACAAGGCCACATTGGAGAATCAAAATACTAATTCCACTTGGCCGCCATGATTGATTTTAGAAATGGGCTTGATACTCAAACTGGGTCCATAATAATCTTCCTTAGGATTTGAATATAGAGACTGGAAGAAAGAAGATCTTTTTCTTCTAGGATCACGTTATAATAAGCCTGTTGATCAAAATCTGATGACAGACATCTTTCCCAGGTATCTGGATGAACCTGTCTGAGGAATGAAACCTCTACACACAGAAAAACAGAGCCAAAAGATGGAGTGAGTATCTCGACGAAAGAATTTTTTCCTTGGATCAAGCTAGGCTGGAAGTCAGGCCAACCTCTGAGTCATCCTGTGTTAATTATATATTGCTTTGTAACAAATTATGCCAAAACTTAGTAGCTTAAAACAACAAACATTTATTATTTCACACATTTTTCTGATATGGATTTGGGAGTGGCTAAACTGAGTGGTTCTGGCTCAAAATCTCTCATGAGTTTGCAGTCAAGGTGTCAGCAGACGCTGCAGCCATCTAAAGGCTTGACTGGGGTTGCAGCATCCCCTCCTAATATGGCTCACTCACGCGGCTGTTGGCTGGGGGGGGGTCTCAGCTCCTGACAGTGTGGGCCTCTCTTCACAATATGGTGACTGGCTTCCTCCAGAGCGAGCAACCCAAGAGAGAGAGAGCAATCCAAGACAGAGCAAGAAGGAGCCACAGGACCTTTCATGACTTCTCCAAAAAAATCATACAACTTTACTTTCACTTTACCCTATTTGTCGGAAGCAAGTCACTAAGTTTGCTCACATTCAAGGGGAAGGTTTTTAGCCTTCACCTCTTGAAGGGAGAAGTATCAAAGAATTTGTGGTCATATTTTAAGATCAACACACTCTCAGTTACTCAAGTCAATTAAACTTAATTTTTGGCTTAGTTTGTATTGGGTTGATGCCACTTAAACCCCAAAAAGTCCTGACTAGCATCTATATCTGAGTCACTAAGAAAGTTTTAGATGTTATTATTTATTGGTTTTATTCTAGTAAATTGATCTCTTGTGATCTAAAACAAACAGGGCAGTGCTAGTTCATTGTCCTACACCTTATCATCAGTAGCACCCAAACTTGTTCTATAGAAGGCAGGACCTTATCATACAGCAGAGGTAACTTATCTTCCAGCAGGGCCAGAACACTGTTTTGTAGATAGAAGCTAATATTAATGCCATGGAGGAACCTGTTACACTGCCTTCCAATTCCTTTCCGTTCCTTCTCCAAATCTCAAACCCAGGCATCCTCTTCATAGATCAAAATTTTGGAATCAATTTTCTGTTAGAAAAAGAAAATACCTGATCAGAAAATATCTGACCTTGTAGTTTTCAATTTAAGGGCTCAGAAAGAGAATATTAATGTTGAAAATCCTAAATCTCACGTTTTTAAAAATTTATACCAGAGGAGCAAAGTAAAGGATGCTTTGAATGGAAAGGACCATAAATCATGAAAAGAAATTATTCTTTGGATTACATTTATAAGCTAGTTCACTAGAAAAATCATCACAGATTAAAGAATTAAAAGTTAATTCTTATTTTTATTAAATATTTCAATAAGTGTTCTTGATCACAAACAAC